ATATATTTGCGTTATTTGTTACATTTCTAACAAGTTATATCATTAGGAATATATTTTGTATATTTTGGATTATAAATTAAAAACATTTCATACGTTCAGACATTTCATTGATCTTCTATTAATAGTGTTGTGTATTTCAAGTTAGTAATGAGATATATTTGATTATTGAATTTGTTAAAAATAATACGTAATTATATATTTAAAATAAAATAATTATACCTAATTAATAACAAGAGTAAAATTTGAAGTTTTCAAGATAATAAAGGAGGTAAACAAAAAAAAAAACTTAAAGGACTAAAATTATAACACAGGAAGGTTACAAATGTAATACATATAATTTGTTAGTTAGAAATGTTAGAAATAAGTGTTAGCAAGGTTAGAATCCTTAAAAATGGTGGGTCCTACTAAAAACCAACCTATTTCTGCAAAGAATTTTCAAACAAGTCTATTTCTACCAACTAATTTAAAACCATCCTACTACAAAGTAGTTATTGAGGAGACTTGTTGGAACTTGGAAGAAGAAATAAAATAATACCTGAAAACATCCCAAGTAGTATTCAAATGAGAATCATCAATTGGTGGGAAACCATGTTTGGCAAGAAGATTACGGTAGACAGGACCAACAGATGGATCATGACCACCGGCACCTTTTCTTCCACATTCCTCCACCTTCACAGAAAACTGTTTATCCATCTCTCGTCTAGCTAGCCAGGTACTCACTTAGTTGCTTATGATCAGTATTCAGCTTCGAGATCCGGTAAAACAGAAATAAATAGATAGTTGGGATCGATACCAACAAAGCAATTAAACTAAAGAAGGCGGGTACGTACTATGGCTGAAATGAAAAAGAGATGCATGTGTTGTTGGTTGGTATGACGAATTTAAGTAAAGCAAATTAATGCATTTAACCTCATGTGGCCTACTTACAATGGTCCCATACAGTAACTCTATAAATGCATACATACATATATACTTTTATATTTCCAACGGGAATAATTATAGTGCAGTTATATATATAAGAGTATAGTGTGATAAAACACATGTATGCAACATGTTTTTTCTGGTCTCCGGAGATGTCATTCATTCCGCAACTAAACAACCATAAGAATAAATAATTACAATTTCAAAAAGATAACCCCGTCATGTCGCCAACAACTATATATATATATATATATATATATATATATATATATATATATATATATATATATATATATA